TGTTGTTTTCCATCCTTTAGCTTATAAACTATTTATGTCCTTATATATGTGAAGTACAGTTTTTGCTGGCAGCATATACTTAATTCTTGTTTTTTAAAAAATCTACTATGACATTCTTTGTCTTTTAACTAGAGAATTTAGACCATTTATAATTAATGTGATTATTGATATTGTTAGGCTGAACTATAGCATCTTGCTATTTGTTTATTTGTCCCATCTGTTCTCTATTCCCCTTTTCCTTTCTTCTGCCTTCTTTTGAATTATTTTTTTATTTAATTTTATCTTTTGGCTTATAACTCTTTGTCTTGATATTGTAGTGACTGATTTAGTGTTCACAGTCATATCTTTAATTAATTACAATGTACCTTCAAGGGATATTATACCTCTTCACATATACTATAAAAACTTTGATTTTATATTTTAATTATTCCCCTCCTGACCTTTGTGCAATTAGTATCATATTTCACCCCAACTCTATTGTTACTATTTTTTCTTAAACAATCAATTATCCTTTTTAAGATTAAAAGTTTTAAAATCTTATATGTTTACCCAGGTGGCTACCATTTCTGATGCTCTTTCTTTCCATCTGATATTATTTTCCTTCTTCCTAGGGGCTTTAACATTTGCTGCAGTGTGGTAATGTTAAATATATGATAATGGTAATATATTCTTTCAGCTCTGTATGTTTGAAAATATCTTTATTTCATTATCTTTCCTGAAAGATATTTTTATTAGCTATAGATTTCTAGCCTGACAGTTTTTTCTTTCATTACTTTAAAGATGTTACTTCACTGTCTTCTGGCCTGCATTGCTTTTGATGAAAAGTCTGATGTCATTCTTTGTTCCTCTAAATTTATAGTGCCTATTCTCTGCTTGCTTTAAAATCTTTTTATTTTTGGTTTTAAACTATTTGATTATGCTGCGCTTTGGTCTGTCTTCCTTTTTCTTTTGTTCTTGCTAAGTATTCATTGAGGTTCTGAGATGTGTGGGGTTATTGTTTTCACCACATTTAGCAGCCTTTCAGCCATTATTTCTTTCATTGTTTTTTTCTTTTCCTTTCCTTCTTTGGAAACTCCAGTTACACATATATAGAGATATTTGGCTGACTGAAGTTGTCCCACAGCTTACTGATGGGCTGTTTTCTTTATTAAATATTTTTGTGTTTTATTTTGTATAATTTCTGTTGCTGTGTCTTCACGTTCACAAAAATCGTTCTTCCTGCAATGCTTACTCCTATCCAATATATTTTAATCATGTTTATGTTGTCTCTAGAAGATCAATTTGGGTCTTATTATAGCTTTCATGTGTCTCCTTAACAAACTTTATGTTTTCTTCTAGTAGCTTAAACATATGGAACATAGCTATAATAACTTTTAATATCTCTGTTTAGTAAATGTTTTATTAAAATATTAATTTTAATTGAAGTGATTTAATTAAAATATGCTTATTAAATTTGTTTTTTAAATCCATGGTATTTCTGAGTCTATTTCTATTGATTAATTTTTCCCTTTACTATTGAATTTTTCCATTCCTTTGTATATCTGGTAAATTTTGATTGAACACAAGGTACTGCTTACTTTACCTTACTAGGTACTGGATATTTGGTCTTTCTCTAAATAGTCTTGAGCTTTGTTCTGGGATGGAATTAAGCTACCAGAAACTATTTGATTCTTTAAAACAGGAATTTGCAAACTATATGTCCCAGAGGTCAAATCTGGCCCACACTCTGTTTCTGTAAATAAGGTTTTATTGGAATACAGCCATCCCCGTTCATTTACATACTGTCTATGGCTGCTTTAACATTAAAACGGCAGACCTCAGTAGTTGTAACAGAGATCATATGGCCTGCAAAGCATAAAATATTTTCCATTTGGCCCTCTACAAAAATGTTTTATTATCCTTCTTTAATGGCTTACTTTTAAGATTTTTTTTAGGTAGGATCAGAGCAACCTTTATGCTGGGGCTACTTCTGCCTCACTACTGAGGCAAAAGCCTTCTGAGTATTCAATCTAATACCACTTGTATTACAAAGTTTTCCTACTCTCAATGGTGGGAACACACACTTCCCAGCCCTATATGACCTACCTTTTCCCTTCCGGTGGTTCTTTGGGTAATTCTTAGATACACGCACTGGTCAGCACTCAGCTGAAGATCTCCAGGGTGTTCTCTCTGTGAAACTCTCTCTTCTCTGGTACTCTGTCCTAAAAATTCAAGCTGCCTCAGCCTCTCTAAATGCCCAACTCTATCACCTCCACTCAGGGTGACCTCTGGGCTGTGTCTGGTTACCCTTCATACTCCGTGGACTTGTGCACATCATTTGTTTCCCTTCTCTTGGGATTCATTTCTTATGTCACTTGCTGTCCAATGTCAGAAAACCTTTTTTCCCCCATATGTGTCATGGGGTTCTTTTTCTTGACTGCTCCGGCAAGAGAATAAATCCAGTTCCTGTTACTACATCATGGCTGGAAGTCCCCTCATTATGAAGTTCTACTTCCTTACATTTGCATTAGTGCTTTATATTAGAAGTAGTGACAAATCTACATTATCTCATTTCTTTTTGTCTACTTTGCTAAGATGCAGAGATTATATAAAAGCTCAAAAAATGCAAAAAGTGACTTGCTGGGTCTATTTTTTTTTTTTTTTATCCTTACCCGAGGACATTTTCCCTTTTTTATTCAGGTAGAGTGGGAGGGAGAGACAGGAACAGAGAGAGAGAGATAGAAACACTGATGTAAAAGGGACACATCGAGTGGCTGCCACCCGCACGACCAACCAGGGCCGGGGACAAACTGCAACCGAGGTACGTGCCCCTAGTGGGAACCGAACCCGGGCCTCTCGGGACCGCAGGTCGACGCTCTAACTGCTGAGCCAAAATGGCCAGGGCGACTTGCTGGGTCTATTAAAGATCAGCCCACGTCTCCTTGTCATTTTCTCTTTTATAAAAATAATTTTTTCAAAATTTACTATATTAATGATATAAGTAACAAAATATTGTCTTCTGAAGTATTTTGAAAATTATTTATTACTAGTATCTCGAGTTTATACTACTGAGAAATATAGAATTAGTTAAAAGATTAATAGTACTGCATGCTGCTAATGGCCAGGTCTATCACCTCAGTTAATCCTCATAAATCTCGCAGCTATTATTATTTCAATTTTATAAATGACAAACTGTGCCTAAGAAAGTTTCATTAATTTGTTCATTGTCCTCCATCAAAATTGTGTCATGTACTTACTGGTACCACAGCCAGAATTCAAGTCAGGCTGTGCTTGGTTCTAAAACTTGTTCCCTCCACCATGCTGTCTGCTCCCAAGTATACAGCTCTTCAAAAGAGAGCTGCTGGAACTAAAGTTTGACAGAACACTAAGTACTCAGTAACAACGTGGCATTAGAAATCATTAACTAAAAGTATCAAGACCTATTCATTTTTTTTTTTTTTTTTTATCCTCACCCGAGGATAGTTTTCCATTTTTTGTACAGATAGAGTGGGAGGGAGAGAGAGGAAGGGAGAGAGAGACAGAAACATCGACGTGAAGGGACACATCGAGTGGCTGCCACCCGCACGACCAACCAGGGCCGGGGACAAACTGCAACCAAAGTACGTGCCCTTAGCGGGAACCGAACCCGGGTCTCTCTGGACCGCAGGCCGACGCTCTAACCGCTGAGCCAAACTGGCCAGGGCAAGACCTATTCATTTTTTTAAACTAAAGAACTTCTAATCAAACAAGCAATGAAAAAGAAAATGAAGTATATAGAAATATATAGGAAATTTGGATTTCTTTTTAATCATATGTAATCTACTTGAAGTTTTCAAATCAGGCATTCAAACTTCCTTACTGAGATATCTGGGCAAGACTACAACTGACAAAATTCTGCTGAACTTGAGCTCCCGCAGATTTTTCTTACATCTAAGTACTGAAAACACATTCTGCTTCCTTAAGATCTTATTGTTTATTTTATGCTAACAATGCTATATATATTTACAGTAGAAAATTTTAAAATATACATTTCTTCTTTGAATTATTCTTAATGTGTTAGTTTCTTTTTAGACATAAGAAATGAACCTATTATCTTAAGTTTCCAATTATTGCTAACATGATGAAAAACAAAGCCATCTTCAAACAATATTTCTTAGAGATCTTTAAAATTAGCTTAACATATTTCAATTCTTCTCCATCAAAATTATGACATATAAATCAAAACTACTGGCTGCATATTATGGTTCATAACCTTATTTTTCCATACTGGCAGTGCAGTCTATTCTAAGAGAGCCAAATAAAACCCACTTAACACCATAAACGTTTTCACTGACACAAGGAATAATTCATTTTCTGAGGTTAAAAAAGTTCATTCCGTTCTCCCTATTTCAAATGTTTGGATTTCATTGAATTAAGAAACAAAAAAAATTACTAAAACAGGAATTCTAATATTTTTCTCAATATACTACAAAGAAAAAGTTATGGAACTGAAATATGGCTACTCCAAATGATAAAATGGGAAAAAAGCTAAAGTCTCCCAATCTGGAACCCTTCCCCTCATTTCATGTAATTGCCAGATTTTCACAGGTAAATAAAACAGAATTCCTTTTACCTCACTAGTCAAACTGCTCACACTAGTGGCTTTCTCCCAGGCTGCTGTGTCCCTATCCCCTGTCCCAAAGATGTCTGAGTGAAGACTCTGGTGTCCAACAGGATGGATATACATACAGTGCCAGCTCCACCGGCAGCACTTTGCTTCTGCCAATCATGACCCTGACAGGAAGTCACTCCAAAGAAACAGGTGGCCCCCGCTCAAGGTGTGTAGTTTAAACTGCCTCGAAATAACTCTTTATCACCTATGGTATCATAAAATATAAATCAAACCTAAAAGTATTATAAGAACTGCATGATAAAAAAGTTTTGCTCCAATTTTTGCTTCTGGTTCTCTTGAAAAGTACTCTCATGTAATTAGAAATGGCAAATGTCAGGGTGGAGGATAAAAATTTAAAATGCCAACTCACAAAAGCCAATGATGACTGTTATCAATCAGGCAGGAGCAACCTAAAAATAAAATAAAATTTAAAATAAAAATTATTTATTGGTTTTATATAATAGTTTTGCACTCAATGAAGTGAACTTCATTAGGATAATTGTAGATTCACATGGGGTTTTAAGAGCGATATTGAGTACCCTTTGCTCACAATGGCAACAATTCACAAAACCGAAGTATGATATCACACTCAATCCAGTTATATTAATACAACCCACTGGTCTTTTGATAATTACCCTAGTCTCATTAAACTTGTTTGTGTGTGTATTTAGTTCTATAGAATTTTACTACTCCCAACACTTGTACATATATCCCTCTGATAACATCCCCACTTCATGCTTTTTAGAGAGAGAGAAAGAAAAGCTATTGGATATATTGGCTAGAGCATCTCATGTTTCAACGCTAAAGTTACTTCCCTTCCTAGCACCAAAGGATAACCTTACCTTTCCATTCAAAGTTTCCTCTACATTATCATTCTCTCCCTCTACTAGAGACACTTCTCCCCAACACACAACCATGCTCTGGTATTTACCAAACTTTAACTAACAAAACCCTCATTGACCCCTGCTTCTCCCACTATATTCCCAGACTAACTTTCTCAGACTCACTTCTGAAAAGAAGTAAAAACTTAGACAATCCCATTTCTTCACCTATTTACTTTCCAATCTGGCCCCCTGGCTCTCATCTCCACCACTCTATCCTTATCAAAGTCCTCAAAGCAATGATTATCTTCGTTCACAAACCAGGATACTGAAGCTCCGGAGAGATGACGAGGTTGAGACAATAAAGACACACCTCCCCTGGTAGATGAGCAAGAACCCCAGGGCTGGGCTAAAGCACTCTTTTCAGGGTATTCTACTTCCAGGGACTTCACCTTCTTCCTTCCTTCTGTCGCACTCCTTGCATTCAATCTCAGATTTCTTGGAAGTTGCATTGTTTTTCATCACTTTTAACTAAGATAAAGGACTTTGCCTGACCTAACAAATATTTTATCTGCAGCACTTGATGGATATTATTTTATTTAATTGTCACAACCTGAGAATAGGGGGTTTTATCCTCTTTGTACAAGGAAGAGAATTTGGGCTGAGAAAGAATAAAACCTCCCCCTAAAGCAGACAGTTAAGAAGAGGTACGGCCAGCATTTGACCTGATCACCTGGATTGTGCGGCCCAGACTGCCAGCCCTTCCTTCATCGTGGTTAGATCTCATAGTTCCTCAGTTGTTTCTATTATATGGTAACATGGTAAGGGGATAAGGTCAGAAAACCTAGTGTTGATACACGCGTGCTATGAGCAAACACATAAGAAACTAATTTATATATCATAATGGGACTTTATAATGAGAATTATAATTGTTAAGACATGACACTCAACTTTGGTGATCAGGACACTTTCCCTCCCTAGCTCTACCTGGGAAGCTAAATTAGTAAGGACAAGGTGTGTGACAGACTTGTGTGTTCACCCACATTCTATTCTCAATTTGTAGGCAAACAGATAGTACACTTGCTCAGTACTGCCATTAAACTAGGGAAGAGCTAACCCTTCCATCTTTTTATGAGAAGTCCAAGCATCTAGGGGACAGATCCATGAAGGCCCAGATTCCCCTCTTAGCCTACGCTCCAGGTTCTGGGGATCGTGAAAATCCTTGTGCAAAGAGCTTCAAGCCTGTGCTGGGACTGCACAGCCCTCTTCCCAGACCTGTGTTTCTGAGGACAGATCACGCCCAGTGTATGCAACCCTAGGCCCAAGAAGTGGCCCGGGGGTGGCTGTTTACAGAAATACGGACACAGCTTAAACATGTCACCTTCACACGGTGCAGAATTGGGCCTAGAGAACAAAGAGAAGGGAAGACAGGCCACCTCTCTGTACACTGACATGCTCTAGAGGTGCTGAAATATCAAGACTCCAAGAATTACACATTCAGACCTGATTTTCCAGGTCATATGGGATAAACTTATCAAGGAATGAGAGTGTATTTTTAGTTAGTTAGTTTATTAGCTTAACATAACTTTTAACTATTAAGATGTACAGTAGAAGTCCTTCTACTTACATTCCTGCTTGAAATTCTCTATCCCTTTTAGTTAGGCACGGCCATGTAACTAGTTGTAGGCTGCTAATACAGTTAACTATTGATAGAAGACCATTTAACCCTCTCTTTCCCCACCATGGCAATCATGGTTAAGTATTTCTGAGAGCACACAGCTACAACATGGTGGAGGCTTCGCAGGCCTGAGTCTCGCTATGGGGGACAGAGTCCCCACAAATCCACGAGAGATGTTTAGCATAAGCAAAAAGATGAACTGTTCAGTGAAGCCACCGTGGTTAGTGGGTGGCTTCTTAGGGACAGCATGGCTTTAGTCCATACTGATGACACAGAATTGGTACCAGAAGTAGGCTGCTTCTCTAGCAAAAACCTAAAATATATGACCTTGGTTTAGTGGTCAGGAAGCAGTTAGGAAACTGATCTTAAGGGCTGGAAAGATAACGATGTATTTTACACAGTAGCAAAGTATCTGGTCAAGCCTTTGCTTCTGGTGCCCTGGGGGCAGATCACCTGCTCCTGGACTTGCCGCCAGCAGAGAGGAGAGAACAGGCCCTGGGAAGTGTGCACTGCTTGCTGCTGGCTGCACTGGGCAAGGTACCCAGGGAAGAGATGGGTTCAGAAAAGAACTGCCCACTTTTCAAGAAGTGAAGGGGAATGGGGAGGTTCCAGTCTTTTCCGATTTGCAGGGTTATAAGAACTGCTTCTCAACTTTCACACTACCAGTTTAAGACCTTGAAGGTCATAAGCCCAGGAAGAAAACCATTTTTTAATTAAATTTACTCAGGACAAGGATATATAACGTATTTATTAAACTATTTTATTTGGATAAAATGACTGAGAAAAACGGTAAGATTAAGTGTAAAGCTTCCAACAGATGCCAGCCAGTCCCAAAACAACTTTCTTTAGGTCCAAAGAGCTACAAGAGTGAGAACGCAAATCAATGCAGGTCTGAACCAGGTTTCAAAACAGAAGAAAAAATGGTGGTGTGTTTACTAGCACACAGAACTGACTGGAAACAAACAGATAAGAAAACTTGATTTTGAACAGAACTGTGTTGCCAAAGAGAACCAGCTTATCAACTGAAGTCTTAAAACGACCCTTTGGCTCCCAGCCTTGTCTATGGAGGAAGTGGGCAGAAACACCTGTCCTGTTCCCAAGGAGAGCAAATCTCCTCTCCACTCCTATGCGGCTAAGGAAGACACAGCAACCCCCCCCCCCCCCAAATGGGGATCTAGAAGGGACAGTTCAGAGGAAATGTTTGTGACCCCTCCGTCTGTGCCCTAGTAAAGGCTGGCTGCGGCTGCCCTGGCTGCAGACTAGCTCTCCATTTAGCTGTCCCCAAGTCCCCCGCAAAGATGTCATGTAGTCTTGGGTCCTACTTGGCCAGTGAAGTTTGACATCTCCCATTTTAAAACAATATATAGGTAATTCTGGACAAAATAGCCAGGCAAGAGATGGAAAAGACTACTCTACCTCTACCCATTAAAACAATTACAGGAACAGAGATGCTGGTTTCTAAACAGCTGAAAGCTAAGAGAAGATTCATGAAATAAACATGTCTTCAATATATACCACCTCAGACCATCCTCTCCCAAACAGTCCAACCTCATGGACCAACCAAGTCTCGTCCTCCTCTTTCTTTCTGTTTTAATCCAAGTCAGCAAAAGGGGGTGGGGGAGGGGGCAGTTCAGGGAAATTCAGTAACTTTAGGTAATTACAAAATATTTTGAGTTGGCAGCCTAATAGAAAAAATTAAATGTTCCTTCTTGTTATAGACACACAGATTCCATCTACTCTAAGTTTTAGAAATCTGAATAATATGTTTATGCTTTAAAGTTAGAATATTTTCCATCATCTACTCCTCCAACATTGTGAGGAAAAACTAGAATTAACATTAACAAGTAAATTACAACAACAAAAAGAACCTAAATCCTAAACTATACTGGGAAAATTTATAATTTATAATACCCAAAGACGATGTATGGATCTGTATTATATTAATATCCCCAGAAAGGTATCAGAAAAATCAACAATTTTCCTATATAATGTAGATTTTAAAACCTCACAGTGAATGATTTTCTAAATCATGTCCTTTGAGAATATGAACATCTTTTCCCAGCTGTTTAAAAGCAATTTTCTGGATTGCAGTTTTAAGCATCTCTTTGAATGAGACAAGGTTTTACCCTTAAAACCTATGACACGGGCTTCATACTTCACGGAAGTGCAGGCAGAACTAACATAATAGCTCTACTTCACACAAACTCTCAAAATCTCCAGTGGGACCTGAATTAAACTGCTTGCATTATAAATGCTAATACCATGCTCTAAAAAACATGGCAGAGACTGAGAGTAACATGAACACGAACGTAGCTTGTCTCCAGTCCCAGGGTTTCGCTGCTGCACGTATTTCGACAGGACCCATTGTTGTGGACTGAACTGGGTCTCTCAGAACTCCTATGGTGAAGCCCTGTCCCCCAATGTGACTACTGGAAGGTAGATCCTTTGGTTAAGGGTACAGCCCTAACCCAATAGGACTGGTACCCTGATGAGAAGATAGGGAGGCACCAGAGGCCGTTCTCTCCAAGCATGCCCATAGGAAAAGGCCACTTGAAAATCCAGCAAGAAAGCCGTCACCTGCAACCCGGGAAGAGAGGTCTCATCAGAAACGGAATTTGCTGGTACCTTGATCTTGGACTTCTAGCCTCCAGAATTGGGAGAGAAAAAATGTATATTGTTTAAACCACCCAATCTGTGGTACTCTTGTTGGTGACGGCCTGAGCATACTAATTTAGATCTGGGAACACACGCTGGGAAATGTGGAAGTGGCTTGGGCCGGGGCAGGTCACAGACAGGCTGAGGCTGCGGGCTCCGAGGCGCGGGCTGGCAGTCCAGCTTGCCTTGAAGAGCCTGTTGGTAGAAATGTGAACTTCAAAGGTGATCCCGGTGGAAATGAAGAATACGCCCCTGG